TTGTTTTCAACATCGCCAGCTTGTCACACCAAGCTCCTCTGCATTACCAGCAGGTCGTGCACTAGCCCGCTAACATTCTCAGCAGTATTTTCAGCACCCTTCACTTGTCACACCAACTCATCCCTAACATCAGGTTGTGGCTCAGGGCAGGCTTCAGGCAGGCAACTTGTATGGTCCAAGGCAACTCGAAGGACATATTGGGCAAACTTGGGCTAGCTGGAAGATGGGGTTGGTTTTTTGAGCTCGGGATTTGTTTTGTAACATCTTGCCTCATCTGGCTAAGCATCTTTCAGGCATTTGGGTTTGTCTCCAACATACTGATGTCTATGCACTTTCCCGCAACAAGGCCGTCAAAAAAACATGCATGGAGCGACGCCTGCCTGACCAGGGGAGTAGCAAACAACTTTTTTGTAGGGGGGGGCGGCAGCCGGCAGCCCGCCCCAGCAAAATCGGGGGAGTGATGATTGAAATTTGGGGCAAAAAAATAGAACGAGCAGCGGGGGGCGGGGATGATTGGGGGGAGTGATGGTTGAATTAGGGGCAACAAATCTAGAAAGAGCAACGGGGGCGGCAGGCCCCAATGCGAGGGTGGACAGGGGCAAAAAATACAAAAAGTGGAGCGGTTGGGGGGGGATGACTGGAGGCAAAAAAATCTAGAAAGAGCAGCGGGGGGCAGCCCCGATGATCATAATGATCGGGGGCCATCACTAAATTAGGATTAGGGGCAAAAAATCTAAAAAAGTTGTGGGGGGGTTGGGGGGCGGCAGGCGGATTCAGGAGTGATGATTGAATTAAGGGCAAAACGTCTAGAAAGTAGCTGGGGGGGGTTGGGGGGGCGGCCTCCCCCATAATGATCGTGCTGGCTGAAAGTACCGGGGGGGTGGGGGGGTGGCAGCCCCCATCATGATGACCGAGTGATGATTGAATTAGGGGCAAATAATCTAGGAAGTAGTGGGGCGGTTGGGGCTTGCGGCAGATCGATTCGATTAGGGGTGCATTTTAATCTGGGGGTGCACCAGAGAGAAACTGGTGATGTTGAGGATACGAAAAGCCAAAGCCAGAAAAGCCACCAAAAGCTGCAAAGCCACCTGCCGGAGAGGAACAGGTAATGCAGAGGATGCGAAAACCAAAGCCGGCCCGCAAAAGGGGGTCATTCAGAGGCAGTGACGGTCGGGGAAGGCCGGAAAGCCTGAGCGCCGTGGGTGAGCTAGTCAGTCCTTCTTGCGACAGGCTGCGTCGCAGCATACTTACGGTGTGCGCCCAAGCCGCAGCTTCGGAAACTTCCGGAATCGTCCGTTGACCGGAAACCCACCAGCATTCTTCTTGCCGGACTTGGTCCCTCGACGGAAGATGTTTTTTTGGGCTTTGTTGGTTTTCTCGAGTTTGTTTGGTTTGCTATCAAATAAGACTTAAAACCCCAAAATATATTGTTTAATAAGGTGACCACTATATACGTATTGGTTAAGGCATATTTGTTCCATATATCTTTCTCTTGGACTTTGTTTTTTTGCAGGACAAACAAGATCACTTCTGAATGTACTTCGTCATCAGAAGATTCCTTCCCATCCGACATTGGCTTAATACTCTCATTTGTGACCGGGTCTACAAGCCATCCTTCAATGAACATAGATCGATCTATAAAAAAATGGGTGGCCTTTCCGGACCCCATGAATTCTGGCACATCACCTGACTCCAATGCACAGCGACCATGCTATGAGTGGAAGCGGCAGACTCGTTCTCACCGACACGTGCGACCTTACAGGAATGTAAAATAACAAATATATATATATATATATACACGCACAATACGACAAGCAAAAGATGTAAACTTAAGACGTGTTAGTTGCGCAAACAAGTCGCTACCACCACACAGCGAAATCCTGCGAACACGCGGACTACGAAGCATCCAATGCTGCAATTGTACAATGCCAAAGCAATGTGCTTCCAAATCATAGTCTATGTAAAGGAAGAGATGATCAAACTGTGAGAAGTAGGCAGAAAGATTTTATAAGGAGGTCAGCTCTTTGGAAAAAACGGAGCAAAGGTTTGACGAGAAGACGAGGAAGTAACCTCATGCATGTGACATTGAAAATAAATGAAGAGAAACCGGCAATAAAATAAAGAGAGCTTACGCGGAGGTGACGCGGAGATGACGAAGAGGTGCCGAAGAGGTGACGAGGACATAACGAGGAGATGACATAAAGCAAATGAGACATAACCTCGTGTAGAGAGTAACAGAAACATCCAAAGATGGAGGTGCCTCCTGACGAGGAGGTGACCTCCTGACGAGGAGGTGACCTCCTGACGAGGAGGTGACCTCCTGACGAGGAGGTGACCTCTTGTCAAAGAGGTGATCTTCGACGAAAATATGATGCTTGGATATGCAGCCTACATGCTATGTAATTGGTGAACTTAGGCGACTTGCCAAGCTGCTCGCAAGTCGCCTAACCTGAGTTAGTAAGTCTGCCAAGTCTGAATTAGCTGACTTATTAACTCAAGTTAGACAACTTGTAAGCGGATTAGCAAATCACCTAAGTTCACTAACTACATAGAATGGAGGTCACCCATCCAAGCGAGGAACAAGTGATTTCTTGATGCACATTGAGGATATTAGCTTAGATGTTTAAATGATTTGCTTGTTGGGTTTGCAAATGCAGATGTTGGATGGTTTGGGAGGAAGTTTCACAAATGACGAATTTGATGAGTGCAGATGAGGGCTTGCAGTGCAGGAAAGGTATGCAGATGTTGGATGGTTTGGGAGGAAGTCTCACAGATGACGAATTTGAGTGCAGATGAGGGCTTGCAGTGCAGGAAACGTAGTTCATGGGGGGGGTGAGCATATATATATATATATGTAGACAAGAAAACGCAAGTTGGTTTGTTGAAAAGGATATACGTATTTAAAAAAAATAAGGTATACAGGTCATGTAGTGATGAAGGAGTCCTTGGCTAAGAATTCAGGGGCTCAATTTCGTAGCAGCCTTTTCAGGCGATGAAGGACCCCTTTCTTAGCGTCTTTTTGGGCGTGATGACGGGCTCAATTTCTTAGTGGCCTTTTGGTGTAGTGGTATCACACTACGCATTGGTTCAATCCCCTGCCTTCATCACCCGAAAAGGCCGCTAAGAAATTGAGTCCCTGAATTTCTTGGCAAAGGAGTCCTTCATCACCCGAAAAGGCCGTTAAGAAATTCAGCCCTGAATTTCTTAGCCAGGGAATCCTTCAGAGTCCTTCATCCGCGAAGAAATTGAGCCCCTGAATTTCTTAGCAGTTCATCGCCCGGTAAGAAATCGAGCCCCTGAATCTATCAGCAGACAAGGTTGAGAAATTGGCTAAGAAATCCAGCCTCCGTCGCTCCAGAGGCATAAAAGCTAGCCTTTCTAAAGACGAAATGAACGCTCAGAAATTCAGCCCCCTGGGCCTCGACCAACCGATTTCTTATACAGCGCTCGCTCTGTAGCTTACATATAACTTATAACCATGGTTGGTGGGAAAACATGGGGCAAGCTATGGCTAGTTTCCTTATCACCATGACTATCCACTAAGTGTGTCGACCATCAAACCCCTAGGGTTGCTGAGACCTGAACAAGTGGCCCTTTTGAACAAAAACGAACCCAATCTGGTGTCCGAAGGTGCACCACAATCAAAACTCGTAAGGCTCTACCCAAACCAATGTCGGACAAATTTATGGCTGGAGTGTCCCTTAATGTTGACCCCGGATTAATAAACCCTGGTTGATGAATAGGGGGTGTCCCCTTTTAGTGGGGATTCAGACCACTTTTGGAGGGAACACCCCCCCTAATATTGTGACAGGTTGATTAATCCTGGGTCAACATTACCCTTCCACTGAGCCAGGTTTTGATGGCTCAGGTGAGTCATAATCAAAACCCGGTAAAAAAATGGTCCCTTACTAGCCTTCATTCAGGGATCCTTGCATTATACACCTGAACATTGCCTTGTAAATGGTGGTGTCCCTTTATTTTGGTGGAAAAAGCTATGTTTCAAATGGTTGCAAAATGCATCTTTTCAGGAGCCCTGCTCATCAATCCCCGGGGTTTGACGGCTCAGGTCATCTTTCAGCCAAAGAGAAACCTCGTCCCCCCGAGTCCCCCACTCCTCCTCGAAAAACATCTTCACCGCCTCCAGCCCGGTCTCCGTCACCTGCCGTCTTGGGAGCTTCTCAAAAAGGGTAGAATGACACCCTGTGGGTCGGTTTTTTGACCCTTCGGGATTGAATAATTATCTGTTTATAAAAAGACATAACATATCAAACAATACTTTTGTTACAAGTGCTTTGAAAAGAAACCCAGAAGAAACCACGCCTGTAGGCCCTAACATGCTCAAATGTTGGGGGCTCCGTTGTTGAGAAACACCGATTCCTCCTATATTGCCCCCTGAAACTTCACCTCATAAGGAAGCTCATCCTTTCAGAGGCCCAAGCGCGGTGAAAAGGGGAACGAACGGACCTCCGTTGAGCCCGTCGAATATGGGGTGATCTGTTGGGAGTCGAGCGCTACTGTGGATGGACGAAATCCTGCACCACCTATCAAACCCTGGGATGAAACGTTCCCCCCGTAAATATCGAAAAACCATGGTTTCTTATGGTTTCAAAGTGGTGCAAGAGTTCGTCCATCGACAGTGTCTCGGCGACTCACAGGACTGGAGGCACCCAAGCGTCGTACAAGGACAGCCATTGAGGGCATGTCGGGGGCATCTCTGGATGACTCAGGTGGGGCGGCGCAAAAAGCTGAGGATTCCGCTTGTGACGTGAGGGACATTTTGACAATTTGTCCTTCAGAGCGAAACATTCCGCGCCCTCATTCAGCTCGCCGCCTTTTCTCTGTCGAAACTGAAGCTGTGGGCGCCAACAGCAATCGGTGATGCTCACGCGTGGGCCTCTGTCAAAGCCCAAACTGTACATTCTCTGCGGCTCGTATTTCTCCATGACTCTCTTCTAACTCACGGGACTGGCGCTTGAATCAAACCTCTCAACCGGGAAACCGAGGATCATCGGGGGAGTCCATTGCTTGCACCCAATGTCCCGCTTGCCACCAACTGCGCGCCGCAGGATCCGCGACCGCACCGCGCGTCTTCAGATAATTGCGAGGCATGGCCGCGATGGCCAAAGGGAAGCTGGTTGACCCCAAACAGGGGACCGCCCAAAAAACGGGTTTCTTGCTGGCTTCCATCTAACACTCAATTAGAGGGTACCCTCAAGAAACATACGCATGCCAACTGACTTGGCCATACTTGGCCATGCGCATAGAGTGAAGAGTCCCTCACAGCTCCTTGTCCTGCGCATCAAGCAGGTTTGGCTTCCCATGTTGAAAAAAAAACTTACCAGTACCCGATCGCAAGGGCAGACGAATCCCCGAAGGAATGTTCCAGACAACCAACTGGATCGAGTGGTTGACCTTGTGTGCAAACCTGTTCGAGAACCTGAACCTTTACATGGGACATCGGTCTTTAAACGTCATGGAACTCCCTCAGCAATGAAAAGGAAAGCATGACCGAAGTTTACAGTCAGGAATGGTTCAGAATCATCCGGAGTGGGCAATGAATTGTTTTGGCCCATCTCGTGCTTCTTCGCTTTCGCCCTTGTCCTTCTTCTTCTTGGCCTTCTTCTTCTTCTTTCCGCCGCCCTTCTCCTGTCGTCTGCTTGCTACTGGCATGATGCCCTTAAAAAGTAGTAGGAGTTTGGCATGGTGGGCCCAATTTTGGTTGGTATTTTAAGGGAGCCCCAAAGGGCACACGCTGTTTTGTTGTCAGAAGCGCTGAAGCCCCCTCAAAGAAGAGCAAGTGTAACAAACGCTTGCCAGAAACATGTCAACCTGGCTGCACCTGTCCATTGACCAGGTCTCTCAGTCTATAGAAGCTCAGCCTTGGCCCCGGATCTCTGATTCGGGTCAATATTTGGGTGTGTTTTTTCGGGGCGGCCTCCCAAAATGGTGATTTTCCTGTTGGTCTCCCCCAAAACCACCAAAAGGGCGTTTCGTGAAACCTTGATGTAGAACAACCTCACAGAGAGATCTTACAGGTTGAGCCACTGGCATCCCTCCTTGTCGATGGCATCCATGGCGGCTTGCCTGGCCCCGAAGACCCGAGAATCAAAGAGAGATCACCTGCCAACGATTGCCTGCGTGGCCCAAACCGAACATCCATGTAAAAGATTCGAGCTCAACCAATCCGAGGATCATCAATTCATGCGTCTCATGAGCAATGACTCGAATCAAACAACAGCATCCATGTCCCAGAAGATTCCTTTGCAAACGGATGGTTTGTTGGTGTTACCTGTAGGTACAAAACCACAGCTGTACTGCAAGGCCAAAAGGTCAGATCCGGTCGACTTGATTGCCCCGCACGGGTTGCACAGGAAAACGCCTGGCGCAACAAATGCTGAAGTGAGTGCCTCTGAACACTTTGGAGGTCTGCAAAAGGCAACACTTGGCATGCACCGAAAATCCTGTTTTCAGATTGCTTCATGTGAAGTCAAACTAAAGTATAAATAAACTAGCTCCGCAGGGGCAGAACCGATTCCAACCCGAAAGTGGACAGGAGCCGTTTGAATGTGTCAAAATATGGGGGGGCCCACAAAATGCCGGCCTTCCTTTGGTTTCCCTGCAAACCAAGCTGAGAGGGGGCCGTCAAAACACACACCCGTTTGGGTTTGTCTCAAATAGGAAATCCCTATAAAACGGTTTGGGTTTCCTTTTGGTGTCCCTTCAAAACCACCCCTAACAAAGGTACCCTCATCAAAAAAAACAGAAGAACAAAAACAACATGTCCTCTCCGTTCCTGTCCCTGGCATCGGATTCGCCTCGCCGCCTTCTTCTTGGCGCGCCAGGCAGCCTTCTCTGCGTCCACCTGGGTCGTATCTCGCACAGCTGGCTCCCTCTTGCCCTCCCCTCTCCAAACGGAACGGGGATCGAAACCCAAAGGCAAACCGCCAAGAACGGTTTGTGCCAAAAATGTGGTGGCACAAAATTGGCCCTTCCTTGTCCAAACCAGAACCCCACACCTTTCCTCAGGCGTCGTATCGCGGGAGGGTAGCTTGAACTCAACGTGCAGCTTCCTGGGGTTTCCCGAAAAAAGGTGGCCCCAACAAGGGCATCCTTCCAAAAACGGCACCCCGAGCAAATCATTAAATCCAAACCAATTCAGGGGAATATGCAGCATGTCCAAAAATGATTAGGACAGCTTTGACCAGCCCACCCCTTTCTCAGCTCCTGCGGTTTGAAGCACATCAAAACTACATGTCTCCCCTCAAAGGGCACGGGACATTTGGTGAATCTGCTGGTTCTTGGTTGAGCACGAATGCCTTTGGGCCACGGTCGAAGGGGGAAGTGGCACCGACACCCGCCCCCGACTGAACGGTGCCAATGCAGTATCCGTTTCCAACTCCATCTTTAATGATCAACCTCCGCCCGGTATCGGAAGCGCATACAGATGGAATGCCGTTTGCTGTCCACATGTGCACGCAGTGCGCAGGAATGTGCAACGTGAGTCACAAGATCCGCCGCGACAAGAAGAATGACGGGCAACAAAAGCAGGCTTCCGGGGGGGTGGGGGAGGCGGAGCCTGTGCCCCCTCAGCAGGTACAAACGTCTCCCCCATCTTGAGCCAAAAGTTGAGGCAAGGACAAGTCAACAACCCAAGCGTCAAGTCGAGCCAGAGGTAAAGCGCAACATGCAAAATCAGAGCATGACAAATCAAGACATGAATTCAAGACCAAAGACAAATCTAAACTCGTGAGCCTAAAAAATCATGAATCCACAGTAACCTCAAAAATCATGAACCAAAATGACCATGGACCTAAAGAGAACCAAAAACTTTGAAATTAAGGAGCCTGGGACGCCACAATTTCAGCAGCCTCAAATTCGTAGCCAATGGCTCCAAGGGCAAAAAACCAAAGATGCTCCCTCAAAAAGTGAGCTTGGAAATGTCCCACATATCCGCAAAATGCGTGCCAGGTTCCAATATTTTATTTAAAACAAATGGACGATAGACATGAATGGATTGGCCCTCAAAAAGCTGACTTTTCGATTTTGAACTAATACCCCGCAAAGTGCCGAACATGGGGAAGTGAGTATGAGAACGGTGTACTGCTCGGCTTTGCCAGCATCGATCTTGGGGGAACCAGCAAACCGTTCGCTTGGATGTCCAACTCAAGTAGAAAGTCGGTGAGTTCGCCATAGTGTTTCAATGTTAACTTCGGATTCATCAGGACAGTACTTGTTAGGGGTGTTGCTGAAAAGTTTATCAAATGTAGGGAGTCCTGTGATTTGTGTGGCCCGGATGAATCCGGACAAAAACGGGGGACGAACCACAGCTACCCCAGTCAGTTGCGCCCATTGCGAGATCACCCACTTGACGGGGCAAGGAACATCCAAGCGAAGCCAAGTGGCTTCGTCATCCTCGTCTGCCTGCGTCGCAGTCCACGTGCCCCCGCGCGCAGGGTGGGAGTGTGACGGCAGCGGACCCCTGTCTGTTTTTGCGTGCTAAGACTGGCTACGTGTGTTCGAAGTGCCATATGGGTGTCTATGTGCGTCTGTTTTTAAAGGGGGCCCGTTTCAGGCTGGGCTAAAGGGAGTTCCCAGAAAAAGCGACCCCATGTTGAGGGTCCGAATCCCTTTCTGACACACGTTCTGAGTTCTCGCTCCCGAAGCTGCTGGGTTGTTGGAACCAAGGGTGCTGGTTTCCTTCCTATGGCATGCGGGTTTGTCAAAGGGACCCTCCAAAATCGGTTGGCGTTGCTTTTCCTCCCCATTGAAATCAAAGGGTGCTCTCCAAGCCAAACGGAGCACCCATGCTGGGCAGGGGCAAAAGCAAGTGGCTGGCCCCACTGCAAAGTGACAGAGTTCGGGAGGACCCCCGAGGCCGGAGTCCCAAAAATGGCCCAATCCGCTCTTTCGCAATCGGGGCAACAAAAGACCGACAGAGCGTGACGCCGGCCTGTCGCCACAAGAAATCGATAGGATCAAAGTTCGAATAAAACACCACTGATGGACTCCACGGAAGAAATAGACGAATGTCTGAAAACGGAGACAAGCTCTGTCTCCCAAGTTCGGCTCATGGGCCAAGAAAACCCCAAAGCGTATGCCTTGCAACAGCCCCAGAGAACGAAACGGGTGGCTTCCTGGCCCCGTACGGGAAGCCAAGCA